TTTCTAGGGGGGCTTCTAGGAGGTTTTTCTAATTTTTCTAGGGAGAAAAAAGCAAAAAAGCTGAGCAGAAAAACAGTGCCAGGAAGGGAAACTGAGGCACGGAGAGGTTGGAAAACGGAGTGGGGAAACTGAGGCAGGAACTGCTTTTCCTGCCTTTTTTCTGGGGTTTTCCTTGTTTTTCCAGGGGAAAAAAGGCAATAAAGCTGAGCAGAAAAACGGTATAAAGAAGGGAAACTGAGGCACGGAGAGATTAAAACAGGCTGGGGGTGCAGAGTGGGGAAACTGAGGCACGAACTGCTTTTCCTGCATTTTTCTGGGGGAGCTTCTGGGATGTTTTCCTGATTTTTCCATGGGAAAAAAGGCAAAAAACACTGAGCAGAAAAACAGTGCCAAGAAGGGAAACTGAGGCACGGAGACGTTGGAAAACGGAGTGGGGAAACTGAGGCACAAACTGCTTTTCCTGCATTTTTTCTGAGATTTTCCTGGTTTTTCCATGGGAAAAAAGGCAAAAAAACTGAGCAGAAAAACAGTGCCAAGAAGGGAAACTGAGGCATGGAGAGACTGGAAAACAGAGGGAAAAGAGAGTGGGGAAACTGAGGCAGGAACTGCTTTTCCTGCCTTTTTTCTGAGATTTTCCTTGTTTTTCCATGGGAAAAAAGGCAAAAAAAAAAAAACTGAGCAGAAAAACAGTGCAAAGAAGGGAAACTGAGGCACGGAGAGGTTGGAAAACGGAGTGGGGAAACTGAGGCACGAACTGCTTTACCTGCATTTTTCTGGGGAGGTTTCTGGGAGGTTTTCCTTGTTTTTCCAGGGGGAAAAAAAAGCAAAAAAATCTGAGCAGGAAAACAGTGCCAAGAAGGGAAACTGAGGCACGGAGAGGTTGGAAAACAGAGCGGGGAAACTGAGGCAGGAACTGCTTTTCCTCATTTTTTTTTCTGAGATTTTCCTTGTTTTTCCATGGGAAAAAAGGCAAAAAAAAAAACAACTGAGCAGAAAAACAGTGCCAAGAAGGGAAACTGAGGCACGGAGAGACTGGAAAACAGAGGGAAAAGAGAGTGGGGAAACTGAGGCACGAACTTCTTTACCTGCATTTTTCTGGGGGGGCTTCTGGGAGGTTTTCCTGCTTTTTCCAGGAGAAAAAAAACCCAAAAAAGCTGAGCAGAAAAACACTACAAAGAAGGGAAACTGAGGCAGAGAGATGAAATAGGCAGAATGGGGAAACTGAGGCAGGAACTGCTTTTCCTGCCTTTTTTTTCTGAGATTTTCCTGGTTTTTCCATGGGAAAAAAGGCAAAAAAAAAACGATCAGGAAAACAGTGCCAAGAAGGGAAACTGAGGCACGGAGAGATGCAAACAGAGCGGGGAAACTGAGGCAGGCCTGATTTTCCAGCCTTTTTTTGGCCCTGCCGCCGGAGCAGCGCCCCAGGCTCCATTTGGGGATGTGGGTGAAAGGTCCCAAAACCGAGGCCACGACCTTGGCTTGGCTCCCCCAACTCTCTCCCACTTGGAGCCCCCCCAAAAATCGCTGGGTTGGCTCCTCCCCATCCCCCCCCGGATTCATCCCGGTTTTTTTTTTATGGAATTTGAGCCATTTTTGGACAACGGCCAAGGAGGGAAAAGGTCACCCTGCCCTGGGCCAGGCGGGCTGGGCTGACGGAAAGGGGAGGCACAAACAGCACCAAAAATAAAGGAAACGCTCCCAGAAAACACCAAAAATTTAGGGGAGAAACTTCCAGAGCCCCCCCAAAAATCAGGGAGACACCCCAGTCCCCTACTGGTCATCCCACCGCCATAAATTATTTATTTTTCCCCATGAATTTGGGTTTTTTTTCCCCTGAAATTGCTCATTTTCCCCCCTGAAATTGCTCCTTTTCCCCCCTGAAACTGTTGGTGTTTTTCCCTCCTAAAATTGTTGATTTTTCACCCTGAAATTGTTGGGTTTTCCCCCCTAAAAATATTGATTTTCCCCCCTGAAATTGTTGATTTTCCCTCCC